ATAGATGAGTGAGTGCCTACAGTGCTATATCAGTTTGTTGTTGAAAGATTTCAATTTACATTCTACCAGTTCCTGTGCCTTGTTCTTTGCTAATGCCTTCAGTGCGCCTTGGACTTCTTCTTTCAGGATCATTGGCTTTTGATCATATGTTACCTCTTGAAATGGTTGAACATCAACCATTTCTTTTTGGTACAGTGACTGTGTATTCCTTCCATCTTCTTTTGATGTTTTCTGTATTATTCAATATTGTTGTTGGCCCACTGATGCTGCTACTTTGCCACTCCATCGCGCTGGGGGTCTTCCTCTTTTTCTCTGACCCTCCACCCTACAAAACATGATATCTTTCTCCAGCGACTGGTCCCTCCTGAAAATACGTCCAAAGTATGAGAGACGAAGTTTGACCATCCTGGCCTCCAAGGAGCACTCTGGCTGCACTTCTTCCAACACAGATCTGTTGGTTCTATCCCACCATGTTTAAAACTGTTTTGCAATCCCACCATTTTTAAAACTAAACATCTCAGAATCAGGAAGTAAGATATTACTGCCATTAAGAAAGAAGAGTGAGGGATGAAGCACATCCTCTGGACCCTGAGATCCCTGTTCGCTGAACCTCCTCATTTCAGGAAATAGCTGTGATACCAGAGGAATGGCTGAGCAGCTGTAGCAGCAGAACCAAGAGTACATGACAAAGTGGTGGGCTATCCAGCCCACAGAATGAAAAAGTGTAGTCTTTGGGTAGAAACCTCACTTATTAGGCAGAGCTAAGTTTGCAATGCTGAAGACAGTCATTGCTAATTCAGTTAATAAGATCACAAATTTTAAAGCTTTTATTAGCTTTATGATCAGAGATCAAGAGTTAATCCTGAACTTAAGCATATGCAGCACTGGTTACCAGGAAGATAAAGTAAAAATGTGCTAATGTGTTTAGATAAATTTTCACCACTAATTAAAAGACCATACTTATTCCTGACACAGATACAGTATTATCTTCTAATTTAAGTACATGTGCAGAATGAGTAATTTCCTTTCAGTATTACTTAAACCTAAACTAGACTTCAAAGCTACAAAAATTCACAACTTAATTTAAAGGTTAAGACACTTCGGATACATAAATGTGTTCTTATAATTTAATTAGGATGTTCCAGCAATTTTCCTGTTGGGTATATTCATGCATAATTAAAGTATTTCCACTGTGGTTCAAGTTCATACATTCACGGGTTATTCCAAAAAAAACGTGTTTAAGCATGTCAGTACAATCAGTAGATGGTTGCAGAAAAATTATCTCAGTAATACACTTGTCTTAAGTCTCATTAAGGTGACATTAAAAAAAAAAAAAAATCAACTGTTAACCACAGGTCTGCAAGTTAAACCTACCAGCTGCTCTGTGGGAAAAAGATGAGGCTTTCTGCTATATAAAGATTTGCTGCCTTGGAAACCTTATACAGGGTCATTTAAGGCGGAATTGACTCAATGTCAGCGGGTTCTTTTGTTTTCTTTTGATCAAAACAGCGACTTCTGAGCGGATGGTTTGGAGCAGTTAAAATTCAAGGCAGAAAGGTCAGTCAGAAGGTTGTGGCGACAATTTTGGGATTCCAAAGAGTAATCTTGATAGATTTTCTCAGACATAGGATAATCACAAGGGCTTGGGCTTATTCTGAAGATTTAGGAAAGCTGAAAACTACATTGCTGAGAGAACAAAGTTGTTATCAATGAATTTTGTTTCTATCATGGCAATGTGCGTGCCCATTCATTGAGCAAGGGCTGTCCTGAGAGACATTTGTTGGGTAACCGTATCCCATTCACCCTACTGCTCTCTTTGAGTTTCAGACTTTTTTTTTGTTCCTAAACCAAAGCACATTTCAAAGGAACATTATTTGAGTTCCTCAAAGACGCCAAAATGGTTGTTTTGATGTTTAAATCAAAGAACACAAAATTCTTTGGGGAAGGCTTAAAGAAAGGAAAATGCCACTTTTAGATCCACATATAGACCTAAATGGAAGATAGACTGTAAATGCTTTGAAGCGGCATCTGACCTCATATTCTTTTACAAGGGAGAAGGAGAATCAAACTAAAAAACTGCCCAAGACTGATTTCCTAACAGGCAGAGGCCAGGCACACATGCATCTATCTACCCTCTAACCTCGTTTGCCAATTTGATACTAGTCATCACTCCCACAATACTCTACCTTCTCTACTGGGTTCAATAACTCATAAAAACAATAGATGGCTTCAAACAGAACGTGATTCAAAAAAAAGTAGAAGATAACTCTTATTACTAAAAACAAAAGTCAGACCAATAGAGAACAGAGGAATGCTCAGAAACTATCTCCCTAAAAGACTCTTTCAATTAGAATTGAAGCTATTTTGCAGGTCAGTTTTCAGCCAAATAGTAGATTGGCTTATAAAATAAATATGACCCTTGAATAATGTGCTTCCTTAAGCCATTAACAGTTTTTGTTGTTAAGTGTCATCGAGTCAGTTCCAACTCACAGCAACCCTGTATAGGATCCCCAAGGAGCAGCTGGTGAGTTTGAACCATCTTTCTTGCAGTGAGCAATTCAATGCTTATCCTACAGTGCTGCATGAGGCCACATAGTCAGCATTCACCCAGATAAAAGTAGAGATGAAGAGACAGGGAGGGGCAGGGAACTGGAAGGATGACAACAAAAACAAATAGAAATATTGAGCATGTTGACACATTGCAAAAATTATATCTAATGGCACAGAACAATTTGTACAAAAATTGCTAAAAGGAAACCTAATTTGCTGTGTAAGCTTTCACTAAAAATAAAATATTTAAAATGAAAAATAAGTTGATTCCAAATATCTGATATGAAAATTAAATGAGATAACTTAGCATCATGCAATTATTTTTTCACTCAATGTATCTTACCCATATAGCACTAGTTCACAAAATTTTAATGTTGTAGTTGAGTGCATTCAAGTTGGGTCCAACTCATAGTGACCCTTTATAAGGTTTCCAAGGAGTGGTTGGTTAGTTTAAACCTCCAATGCTATGGCTCAAACCGACTTTGTAGTCCATGCATTATCCTCCAGCACCACACAAACAATTTATTTATTTAACCTCATTATACCACATTTGTCTGTCAGTTTGCCAGACTGAGGTGTTTTGTGTGTTGCTGTGATACTGGAAGCTAAGGCACTGGTATTTTAAATATAAGCAAGGTCACAGCTAAGCTTCCAAACTAAGACAGACTATGAAGAAGCAGTGGTGTATTACTTCTGAATTTCTGGCCACTGAAAACTTTATGAATAGCAGTGGATCACTCTCAGATAACACCAGCATGTTGAATACTAAAACTTTCTAAATAGCACCAGAATATTGTCAGATAAAGTACCCCAAAGATGAGCCCCTCAGATTGGAAAGTACTCAAAATATGATTAAGGAAGAGCTGCCTCCTTTAAAGTAGAGTTGACGGTGATGACACGAATGTAGAAAGCTTTCACGACATGCATTTGCTGATGGGACATAGCTCAAAAAGAGAAACAGCTGTAAACATCTATTTATTAATAATTAATACAAAGTATGAATCTAGAAAAATTGGAAGTTGTTAAAAATGAAAAGCACACAGATCGATATCCTAGGCATTAGTAAGCTGAAATGGACTTGTATTAGCCATTTTGAATCTGACAATCATATGGTTTACTAAGCCAAGAAAGACAAATTGAAGAGGAATAACATCACATTTGTCAAAAAGAACATTTCAAGATCTATCTTGAAGTATAATGCCATCTGTGATAGGATGATATCCACACGTTTAAAAGGAAGACCAGTTAATACCACTATTATTCAAATTTACACACCAACCACTAAAGCCAATGATGATGAAATTGAAGAATTCTATCAACTTCTTCAGTCTGAAACTGACCAAACATGCAATCAAGATGCATTTATAATTACTGGTGATTGTAAAGCAAAGGTTGGAAACAAAGAGGAAAAATCAATAGTTAGAAAATATGGCCTTGGCGATAAATGACGCTGGAAATCACATGACAGAATTTTCTAAGACCAATGACATATTCATTGCAAAAACCCTTCTTAAAACAACATCATAGAAGACTATACACACGGATCTCATCAGATGGAATACATAAAAATCAAACTGACTACAACTGTAGTAAAAGACTGCTAAAAAACTCCATATCATCAAGCAGGCCAGGGGTAGATTAAGGAACAAACCACCAATTGCTCATCTGCAAGTTTAGGCTGAAGCTGAAAAAAATGAAAACAAACCCATGAGACCCAACATATGATCCTGAACACATCACATTTGAATTTAGAGAACATTTCAAGAACAGATGATGCATTAAACAGGAATGACTAAAGACCAGAAGAGTTGTTGGATAACATCAAGAACATCACACAGGAAGAAAGCAAAAGGTCATTATGAAGACAAGCAAGATGGAAAAGAACATGTTAGAAGAAACTCGGAAACTTGCGCTCCAGCATATTCTAAAGCAAATGGAAGAAATGAGGTAAAAGAGATGAATAGAAAATTTCAAAGGACAGCTTGAAAAAACAAAGTCAAGTATCATAATGAAATGTGCAAACACCTGGAGTTAGAAAACCCAAAGGGAGGAACATGCTAAGTATTTGTCAAGCCAAAAGAATTGAAGAAAAAATTCAAGCCTCAACTTGAAATACTGAAGGATTCTATTCAGACAAAATACTGAATGATGCAGAAAGCATCAAGATAAGATGGTAGGAATAAAGAGTCACAGTACAAAAAAGAAATGATTGATGTTCAACCATTTCAAGAGGTAGCATATGATCAAGATCCAACAGTACTGAAGATAGAAGTCTAAGGTACAGAAGAAGGCACTGGCAAAGAACAAGATTCAAGGAATTGATGGAATGCAAATTTAAATCTTTTAACAAAGTGATGCAGAACTGAAGGCACTCACTCATCTATGCCAAGAAATCTGGAACAGAGCTACCTGGCCATATCTGTGCACATTCCAAAGAAGTGACTCAACTGATTGCAGAAATCATCCAACAATATCATTAATATCACATACAAGTAAAATTGTGCTAAAGATAATTTAAGAATGGCTGCAACAGTATAGTGACAGGGATGCCAAGATACAGATGAGGATGTGGAACGGTGGTTATCAGTGCTGACAGAAGATGAAGGATCTTGGCTAAAAGCAATGAATTCCAGAAAGACGCTTACTTGTGCTTTACTGATCATGCAAAAACTTTGAACTACGAGGATCATGCCAAACTCGGACAACACTGTGAAGAATGGGTACTCCAGAACACTTATTTGTGTTCATGAAGAACCTATACATAGACCAAGATGCAGTCGTTTGAACAGAACAAGGGACATGGAATGGTTTAAAACAGGAGAGGTCTGCCCCTTGGTTGATATACTGCATAAAACAAATCTTCTGCAGAGTATCTCTTTAAAATGTTCAAGAGCCAAGATATCCATTTGAGGACTATGGTGCAGCTGACCCATGCCATGATATTTTCAATAGCCACACACGCATATGAATATTGGACAATGAGTAAGGAAGACCGTAGAAGAATTTATGCATCTGAGTTATGGTGTTGGAGAAGAATTTTTAAATACCATGTCCTTCCAGAATAACAAATCAATCTGTGTTGGGCGAAATACAGCCAGAATGCTCCTTAGAAGACTGGATGGCAAGACTTCATCTCTCACTGTTAGAGGATATTATCAGGAGTGACTAGTTCCTGGAGAAGGATATCATGCTTGGTGAAGTGGAGGATGAGAGAAAAAGAGGAAGACCCCCCACCAAGATGAATTGGCACAGTAGAAGCAGCAACAGTTTCAAGTGCAACAATGGTGAGAATGGTGTAAGACTCAGCAGTGTTTCAATCTGTTGTGCATATGTTTCTATGAGTCGGAACCAATTCAATAGCATGTAACAACAATATGAAATGGAGGAAATTTTCAGGAAAGAAAATTTTTTTGTGTAAATTTTGTAGTAATACAGAACAGACAACTTTAGAGACAAAAGGCTAATGAAATATTTTTTTATAGAGACTAAAATGTTGATACATAAATTCAAACAATAAAATTACCTGTATATCTTGCAGACAAATTTCATGAGCATCCAGTGAACACTGCAGTCTTGGTTCCAGTAGTTTCTTTAAGTTGCCTATTGGCTCATTGATGTCTATGGCCTGGCTTACACATTCAGCTGGGGTGTAAGTTTGTTCTACTATGCTAAATATTAAAGAATAGTTAACAATTAAATATTTACAATGAATATTAAATAAACAATATGTTAAAAATAAAACTGATCATGATAATGTATTCCTGGTCTTTGAAAACTCATTTTCACATAAACACTGTTCATAGTGGTAGGCTTACCAGCAACTGGGCTTCTCAAACTCAATATAGAATTGCACAAAGAAATGCTAGCTCGAAATTTAAAGCATCCTTGAAAACATATATGCATATGAGTGTATATACATATAAGGATTATATATACACTATTTTTTCTTATAAAGTATAAGCAGACTGCTACAACCTTTTCCTATGGAGTGGCTGGTGGGTTTGAACCACCAACCTTTGAGTTAGCAGCCATGTGCTTTACCACTGCACCAACATTGTCTTTTGACATATTTTGACCAATCTGAGTCATGAGGCTATGGGATGTAATCCCGTATATCTCTTTAGATCCTTATATAGGATTAATGAGTATATATGTATGTATGACACCCTTGGAAACCCTGTACAGGGTCGCTATGGGTCGGACCCGACTCAACGGCACTTAACAACAACAATGTATGTATGAAGTGCTGTTAAGTCCGTTGTGACTCAGAGCAACCTTATAAAGGGTTTCTGAGGAGTGGCTGGTGAGTTTGAACCACCAACCTTGCAGTTTAAACCAACCTTATGGTAGAGTGCCTATCCCTACAGAGCCATAGTGGAACTCCTTTCTAGGGTTATGGTAGTGGTGGTTATGTGCCGTGGAGTCGGTTCCAACTCATTTTGACCCTATACAGGGTTACTGAGGCTGTAAATCTTTACCTGAGCAGAAATCCTCATCTTTCTCCCGTGGAGCAGCTGATAGTTTCAAACTGCTGACCTTGCGGTTCGCAGCCTGATTCGTAACCACTATGCTACCAGAGCTCCTTTTCTGGGGTTATAAACAGGTACAAATAAATATGTGCAACACTAGAAAACTTGGAATTCAATTCGATTTTAAAATATGTTTAAATATGATTTAAATCTCATTTTAAGTTGTCAAGAAACATGTATTAAAACTTCATTAAATTTCATTTTCACATAAATTCCAAGTATAAAAAGTTATTGGCATTGTAGAAAAAGCAATGGACTGTTAAACCAAAGGTTGGTGATTCAAAGCCAGTGGTGGGTAACCAGCCTGTCCTTGGTTACCCTATACAGGGTCACTATGAATTGGAACTGGTTCATCAATACTTTAACAACTACAAATACAATATTTAATGAATGTAAATTGCCTAATTTCTTCTAAAAAATAAATTACATAGACTACTTCATAAATAAAAACACAAGATTAGTAACACCTTCCAGTGAAATGTTTGTGTAATATTGAACACATAATTATGTACATGACTCCTCACATACAATGTGGCCTCTGCATCGGTAGATACTAGCTCTATTGTTCATATATTCTTGGTGATTATTAACAGATAGCAGGTTTAAGAGGGGACTTCAAAATGTTTGTGGAAATGTTCCATTTTTCTAAAAATTTTAATGCTCCCTTGTAAATATTTATTAAATCAGGATTGCATCATTTCTAAAATAGAAGTAACCAGCACTGAGAAAAGGAATAAAAAATCAAATACTTCCCTAGGGGGAAAACTCTCACAATCAATTGCTTGGTCATTAATAACTACATTGATTACTAGTTTTAGTTTAAAACTGACTTTCCGTCTGAAGCTATAAATGTATTAAGTCAAAGGAAAACAAAAATATTGCTACCTAAAATGCTGAGGCAAGTTAACAAAACAAACAAAAACTTATGGTTTGACTCTTAATTTTTACTATGTGTAACTGGTAAAAAATGCTAAATTCAGAAAACACCAACCTTTCTTCCGTACACTCCGACTTCTCTGTCCCATCAATCTCAATTTCTATCAGCTCCTCTGCTTCTCTTTTAGTCATGGTTGAAATATTTTAAGAAATCAGTCCTGTAAGAATAAAATTTTATAAAACATCTTGAAATTATCTGCATAAACACAAGAAGCAAAAACCCAATTCAAATAAAAGCAGAGGGTATGCAGAGAAGGGGTAAGTAATCTTCACAAAAAGGAGCTATGGTATAGCATAGTGATCATGAGTCAGATTGCTAACCTCAAGGTCAGTGCAAAACTATAGCCATTCCTCCAGGGAAAGATAAGGCTTTCTGCTCCTGTAAAGATTTACAGCCTCGGAAACTCTATACAGGGTCACTATGAGTCAGAACCAACTCCATGACACGTTAACCAATCTTCACATGATCTGTTTAACTGGTACTTATTAATAGACATGACTTCATCACTCTATTCATTAACTTATTAAAATGATTTTAGGCCCAATTTCAGCCAATTCTGTCATGGATCCAATTCTAATTCATAGTGACCCCACAGGGGAGAGTAAAACTACCTCCTATGTAGGGTTTCCAAGACTATAATCATTATGGAAGCAGACTGCCACTTCTTTCTCCAAGGGAATGGTCGGTGGATTCAAATCCCATACCTTTTGGTTGGTATTTGAGCTCTTCAGCCACTGTGCCACCAGGGCTCCTCACTATAATGTTGTTAAGTGCCGTCAAGTCAGTTCCAATCCATAGCAACCCTGTAAAGGGTTTCTGAGAAGCAGCTGGTGGATTTGAACCACTGACCTTGCAGTTCAAACTGACCTTGCAGTCTAGCACATTA